TCAAAAGTGTACAGTAATTTATAACACGGGAATAATAAACGGAGCGCTCTCTCTCCCTCTCCTGACAGCCCGTCAGTATCATGCAGCTCGCGGATCCAGTAATTAGTGACCCGACAGTAAAACTAAACATATCTATAACTAGTTTAGGTAGTTTGAGAGGTAATTAAAATAGCTACGTGATATTCTAACCTGAAGTGTGTGTTTTGTTCCGCTCACCGCTGCAGATGATCATGCAGAGCTGCGTGTCGACTCGTCAGCAGCAGCTGATCTCTTGCTCCGAGTCAGATTAGACTTCACTCGCGTTTATGTCCATATCGATCAGATCTAGCTAGTTCTAGCTAATGATATGACTACCTGCTTATTAAAAGACACCTAAACAATAAGCGTCGCTATGCAACCGGGTGAGGCCGCAAAGTATAGCGCAGCATTATGCATTTGTTTACATGCCCACCGGAACCCCGAGGCATTACCAACAGATCAACGCACAATCAACCCATACCTCTTTCTCCACATTAAATGTTAGACATTAGAATTGACTATTCTTGTCTGTCACATACTATTCTTGTCTGTCACATAAGTGGCGCAACTGATGCGGTATTGTGCTAAAGCAGAGACGCGCACCATCTCCCCCGTCTTCATCACTGTGCCTATGTCAACCACCTCCCATCCCTTCAAGAAAGCATCTGCAGTCTCCGAAGCCTGATAAGGATGTGTGTGTACAAAACGCAACAAACTTTTACTGATATGTGCTGGGTCCAGGCTCAAGGGCATATGGCACTCTGAACTCTTTCCAGCACATGCCGGGGCCCTGCCTGCCAGTAGCTTTGCCGATATCTGTGTTGATAGGTAATAGATTAAGAGCGGTAAATCAGCTTAGAAACAGGAAGTGCTCAAACGTTTGTGTGAGGTTATCAAATTTAGCAGTGATTCCATGTCAGCCACAGCTTGTCACACATTTTTTTACTGATAGTGTATTTAACAAACTTAAACTAGCTTTATTAAATGTCAGGTCTTTGGCAGGAAAAACATTTTTAATCAATGATTTTATCACTGAGCACAATCTCGATTTTATGTTTTTAACGGAAACTTGGATTGAACAAAATAACAGTGCAGCTGTTCTTATCGAATCAACCCCTCCCAACTTTAGTTTTATGAGTCAGGAAAGAATGCATAAGAAAGGGGGTGGAGTTGCTATTTTGTTCAATGATTCCATTCAATGCAGGAAGACATCTTATGGGGACTTTGCTTCTTTTGAATATGTGGCCCTTCAGCTGAAATGCTCCTCTCGAGCTCTGTTCCTAAATATCTATAGACCACCCAAATACTGTGCAAGCTTTTTTGATGATTTTACTGAACTGCTGTCTATAGTGTGTATTGACTTTGACCGTTTAGTCATTGTTGGTGATTTTAACATCCATGTTGACAACCCCCAGGACAGAGGGGCTAAAGAACTGTTTTGTGTTCTTGATAACTATGGACTGACTCAGCATGTGGCGGAGCCCACGCACAATAAGGGGCACACTCTGGACTTAATTATCTCAAAGGGTCTGAATATCTCAAAGGTTGTGGTGACTGATGTTGCACTCTCTGATCATTCCTGTGTTTTCTTTGAGAGCTCTATTTCTGTTCACAAAAATGTTCAGAAAGAGGTAACCACAAAGCGATATTTAACTGAAAATACTAGGGAAATGTTTACTCATAATTTCTCATCCACACTTGCCCCTGCTAACATCTCAGTAAATGAGCTAGTAGATCATTTTAATTCAAAAATTAAAAATGTTATAGATACCATTGCTCCAACTAAGGTAAAGGAAGTGATTAGCAAGAAAATATCTCCATGGAGAAAGGCCATGACCGTGAGAACAGAAAAAAGAGAGTGTCGAAAAGCTGAACGTAGGTGGCGAAAAACAAATCTCCAGGTTCACTTTGAAATCTATAAAGAGAGACTTGGCCTTTATAATTTGGAATTGAAAAACGCACGACAGTCTTTCTTCTCTGACATCATTACCAAAAACAAAAACAACGCACGTGCCTTGTTTGCTACCGTCGACAGACTAACTAACCCCCCAGTGTCAGTAGCCTCTGAATTTCTATCCACCAGGGCGTGCAATGATTTTGCCTCCTTCTTCACTGACAAAATTCAGAAAATTAGACAAGCAGTCAGTGCCTCTACATCAGGTACAGCAAATGTTTTGTCCCTATGTCCACCTAATATCAATTCAAACACCATGACACAATTCCATCAGATTAATGGTAAAAACTTAGAGGACATTATTCAACTTCTGAAATCCTCCTCCTGCTGCCTTGATATTATTCCAACAGGATTTTTCAAAGATGTTTTTCCTTGCATGGCCTCAGATCTACTTCATATAGTAAACACATCTCTTCACTCAGGTATTTTTCCAGAGGCCCTGAAAACTGCAGTCATTAAACCGCTCTTAAAAAAGAATAATCTAGATGCCTCAGTAATGAACAATTACAGGCCAATATCAAACCTGCCATTTCTAGGTAAAATCATTGAAAAAGTAGTATTTCAACAGTTGAGTAACTTCTTGCATTTAAATAACTGTTTGGATGTGTTCCAGTCAGGATTTCGTCCAAACCACAGCACTGAGACTGCTCTTGTAAAGGTCTTCAATGACATCCACTTAAACACAGACAGTGGCAGAACTTCAGTGTTAGTATTATTAGATCTCAGTGCTGCATTTGACACTGTTGACCACAACATATTACTAGACCGACTAGAAAACTGGGTGGGACTTTCGGCAACAGTTCTAAATTGGTTTGAGTCCTACTTAAAGGACAGAAAAAACTTTATTTCTATAGGTAAATACACATCTGAGTTGACAAATATGACATGTGGGGTACCTCAAGGCTCCATCTTGGGGCCTCTTCTCTTTAACATCTACATGCTACCACTGGCTCAGATAATGAAAAACAACAAAATAAGTTACCATAGCTATGCGGATGACACACAAATTTACGTAACAATTTCACCAGGAGATTATGCTCCAATTCAAACACTGAGTAAGTGCATTGAACAAATCAATGACTGGATGTGTCAGAACTTTCTCCAATTAAACAAAGATAAAACTGAGGTAATGGTTTTTGGAGCCAAGGCAGAACGTATAAAAGTTAGCGCTGAGCTTCAGTCTGCAATGTTCAAAACAACAGATAAAGCCAGAAATCTAGGTGTAGTCATGGACTCTGACCTGAGTTTCAACAGTCACATTAAAACAGTTACTAAATCAGCCTACTATCACCTAAAGAACATATCTAGGATTAAAGGACTAATGTCACAGCAGGATTTGGAAAAACTTGTCCATGCTTTTATCTTCAGTAGACTCGACTACTGCAATGGTGTCTTTACAGGCCTCACTAAAAAATCTATTAGAAAGCTGCAGCTAATTCAGAACGCCGCTGCTCGAGTCCTCACTAACACTAAGAAAGTGGATCACATCACTCCTGTTCTGAAGTCTTTACACTGGCTTCCTGTGTGTCAAAGAATAGATTTCAAAAATATTGTTGCTGGTTTATAAAGCTTTGAATGGTTTAGGCCCAAAATACATGTCTGACCTACTGCTAAATTATGAACCATCCAGAACCCTCAGGTCTTCAGGGACTGGTCAGCTTTCTGTCCCCAGAGTCAGAACTAAACATGGTAAAGCAGCATTCAGTTATTATGCTCCGAATATCTGGAACAAACTCCCAGAAACCTGCAGGTCCGCTGCAACTCTTACTACTTTTAAATCCAGGCTGAAGACTTTTCTTTTTGCCGCTGCTTTTAATTGAACTATTCACATCTTAAACTGCACTGTAACTTTTAACTTTTATCCATGTATTTTTTCTTTTAATGTTTATTTTATTATCTTTCCTTTTTAATGACTGATTTTAAATGCCATTTTTAAAATGTCTTCCATTTTTGTAAAGCACTTTGAATTACCTTGTGTTGAAAGGTGCTATATAAATAAACTTGCCTTGCCTTGCCTTGCCTTGCCTTGCCTAAAGGGAAATTATTTTTGACCGGACATTTTGACCGGAGAGATTTAGATTTGCCGGTCTTCAGCATATTTTACCGGTCATAGTCCGGTAATTACCGGCTAACGGGAACTCTGAGTGGTATTACTGTACTTAAAGCTGCTGCTGTGTTATTTAAGTTATTTTTGCTTAAGCATGTGCAAACTTGTGTCTCTTTTTTTCCCTCAGCTGTTACTGTAGCTGCAGTACCAGTAATTGCAACCTACCAAGAATAAACAGCAGCCAGAGATCCTCAAGTAAGATTTCTTGCCATATTACAAGTGTTATCAATTCTCAATGTCCTATATGGTATTGCTATGCAAACAGTGAAAGGATATGGAAATCATCAAGAGGTGGCTAAAATATGTTTTTCTGCTGACCCTGTCCAGAGTAGTACATTGCTTTGCTTCCAGGTGGTTGCTCCTGTCTGCATCTCCAAGCTCGGGGCATCAGTGGCGGACTGGCCATCGGGACGTTCGGGACGAATCCCGATGGGCCGGTCCGGCCACTCGGCCCACTTCGGTACCGGCAGGGGCGGACTGACCATCTGTAGAATCACCGAACGGCCGGGTCGGTTTGCTGTTTTTAAACAGCATCATTGAAGTTAAGCTGACAGGCGACAGAGGTCCGCCCCTGCCAGCCATCATCTACTCTAGGTAATACACTGACTATGGATAAGTACCTTTATAAAACCCCACTTTAAACACCCAAACTATCCCTTTATGATGTGACATTTTCTACACTTGTTAACATTAGGAAACACTTAAGAAAGAAAAGAAAGCTGCAGGAGCTGATCATTCCTAAAATACAATTGGCCATGTGATCACCAGTAAAAAAACAAAACAATCTGCACTAAATATTTTTTGGATTTATAAATGTTTTGTGACTTTTTCCTGTTGTGTACCTTAAGGGAGTTCTCCCCTGACAGCTGGACACTACATGATAGCAGAGGACCAGACCATTGTCAGTGGCAGTGTCCTGAATGTTGTCGACGCCCTGATACTGATGTTTGCAGCATATTACTGCCTCAACATCAGTTATCGCTCAGAACTGGGAGCTACCCTGGAGTTCTTGCAGAGGTAAGACTTGAATTGTAATTATTAAGTAATTCCATCTTAAACCACAGAGTAGAGGATTGTGCACATTTCTGAGACACGATAAGTGCTCCTGACAATACAAGATAATCGAGATAAAAAGATTATTGTGCTGCATTCTGTTTCGCATTATGCTCTCGTTTTGTCTTGGGTTGTAAATTCAGCGTACCCCTTTCCTTTGCAGTGGTGTGCTTTGGCTCCTCCCTAAAAGCCCAAACTCACTCTTAGCCAATCGGTGGTATGTTTACTTCAGCTCAATGAAAATGACGGAAAGAGGGCCCTTTGTCGACAACAAAAGAAAACCTGGTATTATTGCAGTGAACAAACACATTAAAACTTCTTTCGGTTAACTACGATGCTTTTACACTGCTCACTCTGCTACTGACACGCACCTCATCTGCCCCAGTTACACACAAACCTCTCAAGATGGCACTCGTAGCTACCCACATTCAAATGATCTTCAAGTGACCGCTTGCTCCTGTTTACAGACCTGCTGCGATACTGTCCAGTGTGATAGTGATGCCAAGTGACGACTTTATATAACAAAATCTATTCAAACCAATGCTTTAAATGTACAGATATGATCATAACAGTTAATGAAAAGTACATTTAAGAGTAGCATTGCCCTTTGACTTCAAGCTGTATAACTGTAAAGACAATTAATGGCTGTATCATCCACAGAATGTGTAATTAAACACTAAATGTAAGTGTACTTCTGTCTTAACAGGTGCCTATTCAAGATCAATCCGGACAATGGGACTAGAGTGGAGAGGAAGGAATACAAACAAAAACAGCACTCGATAAAGATAAAGGTGCATTCATTAATTACAAACGTCGCTGACTTTGAATGGAGAGAGTTGAAACACACACACAGTCATGTACACACGCACGCACATAACTGGTAGATTTCTTTAGTGTTTATAATTGTTATCTTTTGAACAAAATGTTGGCTATTGTTAAATGTTGAAATGTTTCATTGCCGGTCTATTCTGCTTTATTATTACTTAAAATATATTTTATTTATTGTTTTTATTTTTGTGATGTATATTATTTTCAATAATATATTGTATATATATATATATTTGTGATTTTTTTTTTCTACAAAAGATCGGACAGTTAATGTAAACTTGGGCTTTTGGAAAGTAAAATGACATGTTTACTTTGTGTTTTACATGTAAATGGTCTTAGATTTCATGAAGTTTGCTGACGACACGACTGTCATCGGCCTGATCACCGACGGCGTACAGAGAGGAGGTCGAAAACCTGACATCTTGGTGCCAGGATAATAACCTCCATCTCAACGTCAGCAAAACAAAGGAGCTGATTGTGGACTACAGGAAGCAGCAGAGAGGGACACGCCCCCATCGCCATCAATGGGACTACGGTGGAGAGAGTCAGCAGCTTCAGGTTCCTAGGGGTCCACATCACTGAGGACCTGACATGGACTCTTCACTGAGGACCTGACTCATCACTGAGGACCTGACATGGACTCATCACACTAACACCATCACCAAAACAGCGGCTCTTTAAAAACAAAATTGTATTAGTCAATTTATTGAACATGTTAGAAACAAAACAAAAATAATATTTATAACAAAGATGGGCAAAATTAAAAAACGTTCAAGGTATAAAAAAAAATGTATTCTCAAAGGTTCTATCATGTTCAAAAGGGGCAAGAAGAAGCTTAAAAACGTTTCTGGTCCTACCCCCCCCCCCCCCCCCCCCCAGTGTACATTGTTCATGAAAATACAAGTTTAGGTCATCGTCATCAGCATCCGTGATATTGGATTCATTGTTATGTACAAAACAACCAAAAAGAAATAACTTTTACAACGACAAGAAATAGCAAGCATCACTTCACAGGTCCTGCTCAGAACCATTCAGGATTTGGTTTCTAAATAAGAGTTTTAGTTTAGATAAAGTTGCACAGTATTTCAGCTCATCATTACAGTTATTCCACAGATGAACACCTTCTGTTGTGATGCAATGACGTTTGGAATTTGTTCGTATGGGTGGTTTTAAAAAAAATACTTACTTGTAAATGGTCTTAGATACACGGTACTTTTTTGTAATAATAAAAGTAATTTTATGTATTTTAGCTTTTTTTTATCATTTTTTAAAGATAATTATTCAGTTTTCTAGAGGTTTATGACTCTATTCTAACAAATAATATATGTTAAAATAAAAAGATTTCATGTAAAATTACAGTAATAGAGGCTACTTGTGGTAAGGTAAGTAACTTTTTTTTTACATGTTATCTCCGTATTTTATTTTACAGTTTTTTTACAATTTTTTTTTTTACAGTGTATAGTTGTAGTACCACTGAATGGAGCAAGTTTCATGTATGTGACCCTTTTATTTTGTAAGATAGCAAGGGGGGGCATATTGTGATAACCAGGCCTGTCATAAAATGCACCCCACCCAAAAAAATGTTTCCATGAATCCCACCCTCAAGCATTTTTCAGGGTATAGTTGTAGGACTACAGTAGTACCAATAAATGGAGCAAGTTTCATGAATGTGACACTTTTATTATGTAAGATAGCAAGGGGTGCATAACGTGGCAAAAATATGTTGACAAAGACTATGTAACATTTGTAAACATATATTTTGATTATCATATGACAAATATGTAAAATTAAACAATACATTTTAAAGCACGTGTATACAGACAGGACGTAACAATAATACAAAATAAAAAGATTAAAAAAAACAAAAACTGAAAAGGAAGTGACGAATGAATTTCGACACCACTACCATAAAATACGAAGCGAAAAGTTTAACCACAAGAATCAAGACTATATGAGCTACCACTAAACAACTCACAGTCTGAAAATTACCATTAATAAAAACCCTGAACGTTTACTTTTTGTTTTAAACATCGTTTTAAGGTGTAAACGTGTCATTTAGAAATGCGCGTTCCCGTGACAAGGGGGGCATTTCATGATGGGGGTGCATCATTTGACACACCTGTCCGGAGTGCATACAATTATAGGCTAATTAATCACGGGTGGGCAGTGGCATGCGAGTGTACAGCAAGACTGTGTTTCATCGTTGTAATGAACTCGATGGTATATAGGCTGGTCCGTAGTGACTACAACTAGCTGTCTTAGTTGTTGGAGAGAAAGGGTAGAGAAAAAAAAGTCTATGCGCTCCCGATTGGGGGGGCATAGCGGCACTAGAATAGAGTAGTGGTTGTCGCAAGGGGATAAGCTAGTTATCGCTCTTGGACGGTCATCAGGCACCGATCTAGGACTTATATACAAGGGTGGAAGCGCGAGTCAGGGCGCCCCACTGGAGATAATTCCCTTCCCCCTCTGAAACCTCTTAATTCGGACTAAATTGAGCTGGATAAGCTTTGCTGGCGTTTATTACGAGTTCATGTTTGTTTGTCTGATTGTTTGTATAAGGGGTCTATATTGGTTGGTGTAACCGCCGTCTTGTGTATGTTTTGTAACAACTAATAATGAATAATAATAATAAAATTAAAATAAACTTTAGTTAACTCACCAAAAGTAAATTACTTGAGACAAATAAATAATATAAAGATGTAAAGCAAAATTCTGGTAGTATTAATGTGCTGCACAATGAAAATAAATAGAGTGTTTGTATGTCCTGCATCTGAGTGTGCAGAGGAAAATGTAAACAAGAAGCACACTGTTCAGAGTGTGTGCTGTAGGTGTAAGAAGAGAAGAAGATTATATTGCTTTAAGAATACCGTCACAACCGGTAACCAGCAATACATTCTTAAATTGTATTGCTGGTATGTTAAGATATGTTTGTGACCTTTTATAAACCCTATGCCCCGTCCTGCACCCGAGACCCTCAGAGGCATCACTGCTGGTCGTAAGACCTACCTGAGGAGGTCAGGGTTGCAAAATCTGTTTGCTCTTTTAGGTCAATGTTGTATTATTTGTTTAATTTATTCTTAAATCTATGTATTGTATGGTAATAATGAAAAATACGTAATGTATTGAACAAATTCCGAAACAAAGCTGATAAGACAGAACTAGACTCAGACATAATACGAATTATTGTAGAAACATCCTCTCCTATCACGGGGGGGACACCTGGATGAGCCACTAGGAATACGCAGTTGCACTGCTTTCAACATTGATAGCAGAAGGAATACCGGCAGATGAGCCTCCGTTTCACTGGGGGGATCAACTACAGTGCTCACTGAATGAGCCACACAAAAGCAGAGCAATTGGGGGGTTGAAATATGGCGCTCTGATGAAGAAGAGTTTGAGCCAATCAGCACCTCAGTGCTAATCTACAGTATCAGGATGCCTTTACACACCAGACACTCGGTGTCATAAAGGGAGGAGGAGAACGAGTCAGGAAGACTGACGGACATGTTCTTCCAGCTCTCGTACAAAGATGAACTTTGAATTGAATGACCAGATGTTTACAGATGTACAATTAATGATTGTTTTTTGATATTTCCAATGACCAAACATGTGTTAAATAGTGGTGATTAATATATTTTTGTCAGATCAGATTACACTTTCGCACTAAACTAAATTAATTAATTAATATTCTCAGATTATAAATTATTGAATAATAAGGTATTTCTACTATTATCACAGATAATGTTAATATCCTTAATCATCCAGCAATCAGGCTTAACAACACTACACTTTAATGTATTATCCATGCACAGACAGACCTAAAATTATGTTTCTAGTACTGGATTAATTTCAGTTTTGGCCCAAAACAAATATTCATAATAATTAATATAACAATTATGTAGCACTATGTGTGTGTGTTTTTCTCCCTCCATCCAGGTTATTGGCAGAGGATAATTCCTCCCTTTTATGATGGACAGCAACACTGTGCCGAAGAATGTATCTACAAATTGGAATAACTGGGTAATAAGGTGAAGATTTGAGTAAGCCCTCAATCTTTGAGCTGTACTACGCTGTGGTCCCCTGATCATTGCCCGCTGACTCTTTGCAGTAAGTGGTCCATAGCACTCATCTTAACTTGTTAAGAGGAGATGGCTCTAACCGCACAACCAATGTGTCCTTCAAGGAGGACAATCAATGAGACCTTGCGGGATGTTGGGAGATGCTGATGGAGGGGGAGGAAAGAAAAAAAGAATGGAGTTCACAAATGAGCCTAAAGGCTGTGGCTGCTGGAGAGCTAAGGGATCAATGAGTGATCATCAGCCTTTAGTGATCATCAACGTCACAAACACCCTCCCTCCCACCATGCTTGAATATACGGTAAAATGTAAATCAGTCTTAAAAAGTGATTTTATTCTGTAATGAGTGAAGAATAATGACATCCATCTTATAATGTCAGAATCCTCCTGTTTTTATTGTTTTTAATTATATGTTTAAACTGCTGCCGTGCTGTTTCAGCACTGCATTTCCCATAGGTCACCAATCAGTCAAACAGTGCTAACAGTCATTTGTCTTTCAATCTAATTTAGTGTTGAAGTTGAGTTTCTCGAGGTGGACGTGTTCTGACAAACCTTTTTTCCTCCTGATAAATCACTTTTCCTGCACCTGGAAGTCTTTTTTTAATCGATGAAAGAGCAAACATCAAATGTGCTTTATGTTTGTTGGTCTATAAGTGTCGAAAAACATTTAGAACATGGAAAGATATGTAAATGTCAATTCAGTTATCTGCCTTATTTTAAATATATTTCCTTATTTATATTCTACTTCTTACTGCAGCCATTCATTTCTCATAACTTCCCATGGTGTAAATATACATTCTACATACATAATTCACTTATCTATGGCATCAGCTCAACCTCCCTCAATAGACTCCAACTGGTCCAAAATGCAGCAGCCAGACTCCTCACACACACCAGATCATGGCACCACATCACCCCAGTCCTCAAAGAACTTCACTGGCTTCCCTTCTCCCACCGCATCAACTACAAAATACTGGCTATCAAAGAACAAGCAACAAGTCCATACTGTCAAGTGTTTCCTGTCCTCTTGGCTGAGAGGATACATTGTTCTTCCTCTCTCTGTTTCATGGAAATTGTCCAGACAGAGTCATCTTAAAGTGCTGCAAAAGATGATGAGCCCAACTGTTTAATTTACACTAATGTAGGCTTTTTAGCGGTTTCTATTTTTATATAGTGAATTCATTGTTGATTTTATATTTACTTCTGAAAACAGCTACATATTCAGTTTTTCCCGCTTTTTTTATTTATTATTTATCTAACATGACTTTATGTATTGCATTTAAATTTGACC